TAGCTACCTCGCCGCCGTGCCCGTGTGTGAGAGCACGCTGACCGACCTCGCCAGCAGCCCCGCGGCCGCTGCCAGGAACCCGCGCGGAGCCATGAGGAACCGTGAACCAGGCGGAGGGAAACGGGCGGAGAGTGCAGCGAAACCGACCTGTCTGACTTTCTACATTAGTCAGTTTTCATATCCAAGTCGAGCTCGCCCCCCAGCTCCAGGCCAACATGAAGGATTAACTAAAGGCGCCTTTGCGGACTTCCTCACTGTCCCGGTGGTCGGCCAGCGGCGCTGCGGCGCGTTGTCGCCCCCTCCTGGACTGGAGGGGTTAGTGTTAGGGTCAGGGTTAGGCTAACCAGCAGGCCGTACTACGGGTTAGGGTTAGGCTAACCAGCAGTCCTTACCACCGGTTAGGGTTAGGCTAACCAGCAGGCCTTACTACGGGTTAGGGTTATCCCAACCAGCAAGCCTTACTACGGGTTAGGGTTAGGCTAACCAGCAGGCCTTACCACGGGTTAGGGTTAGGCTAACCAGCCCGGCCTTACTACGGGTTAGGGTTAGGGTTAGGGTTAGATTCAATAGATCTGCTCTCAGAAGGACATGAGCCTTTTCCTCTTAAAGCAATACTGTGACTTACAGCATACCTCTCATAAACCAGTGTACTTACCATGAAATTACAATAATGAAAAATGTGACAGATAGATGCTCAGAAAAATCAAACCTGATCACTGAAAGATCAGAAAAGGAACTTAATTAGTGGCTCCAAAGAGAGTTATCTCTGGAAGGATGCATCCTGTTTATTTAGTCCTGCATATGCAGCTGTTCCTCTGTCTGCTGATAAAGAACTCTGTACTGCTATAAACAAGTTACTATCTGGTTTGTGTGGAAAAAATCTGTTATGAATACTTACTGTTCTGCAGTTTTTACTGCCCTCAATCATACTTTTAACACAAATTGGACAAAGTCATTTTTACGTAACCCTACATCTGTATGCAGGGGCGGACTGGGACAAAAAATCGGCCCTGGCAAAATGTCCACCGCAGCACAGCAACAATTCTTAGACGGGGGGAGGGGGGGGTTTCGGAACAGACTTTTGCGCTGCTGATTTTATTTTTCTTCATGCATTATGCAAAAATAACAAGGCCGATATGTAATAATAATAATACATATTATTAATATACATGTTGGGTCTGTCGGTGCCCGCTACGCCCCATTACCAGTCCATGCCTGTCTGTATGGAACTGCATAGCCACATACGTTATCCCTACCATTGGTGGCCTTGAATTTACACTTTTATGTAACATACAGTCGAGAAATAAATAAGCCAATGTTGCTGGCAGGCTCGATAATATATATACACAAGTTTCCCCAGTATAGATCTTTTATTTGGAACAATCTGATACAAAAATACATATTTTTTCTGTCATGGTGTGACATAAAATACTTTTATTAACTCAGTTACCCAAGGCAAATGGTCTTTCATTTAAGTATTTTTTAGTATTTTATGGATGCTGTCTATGGGTTAGGTGGAGCATTGTATGGAACTTGCCTTGTATCATATAAAAGAGTTCATAGATATGACCCTGAGCTGCCCCACTACTGCCTCCTTCTCTTTCCCATCCATCTATTTTCTGTACCACTTATTTCCAACGGGGTCGCAGAAGAAGTAAGCCGTTATATCCAGAGGAAGATTAACTCAGATTTCTGTTTAAGGTTGAGCAATGTACTGTTATAAATCTATTAAATAAATGGTAAAACAAAACAGAAAAAACAATATATCATTGATCTGATCATACTCCTCGGTAAATACCACGTACACACATCTAAAATGATTCATATTATTCCTTCTTTTCTGCTGTTAAAAACATTACACTGTAAGAATTTCTGAGTCCAGTAACAAGAAATCTATAAAAACTACCTTAAATGATGCACCTCATTTATGCTGATATGTTTAAATGGATATTAATAACTGTCCCGATGCCATTTATGACAATAATGTTTGTCTGTAACACTTGTTATAAGTATAATAACAAGCTGGTGATAACAATGACAACAACAATAATAACAAAATGAATAAAGGACAGCTAATACATCGAAAGTCAGGAATAATGAGCTTTTATGAGCTGTTGTCTTTTGCTGGTGACGTCAGTGCTGACAGACGTTAGTGATGTCATGCCAAACCCGGAAGTGGGGTAGCTTCCATGAAATGTACCTTGATTTTTTTTGTTTTTCTTATCTCTTCTTAAACGACATCAGTTTTCACTATGGTCATTTGTGAAACTGACTTTTCTAAAGAAACCCCAGACGACCAACCAGACAACTTTCCTCTGGTAAGAGCAGCTTTCCGCCGTAAACCGGTCTCTGAACGAAGCTTCCGCCGTTTTACTTCGAAGGCTCCGCCGGAAGTGGAGCCCTCCGGGGCCCTGACGCTCACCGGAAGTGGGATGTGACGCGGATGTACTTGTGCTGCTGTTGCAGGCATGAAGCTCACTGAACCGGCCCTCCACCGAGAGCGAGGTTCCACCAGGGGCAGGGCTGCGGGGCAGGACGGGGGACGCTGCTGCTGGGAGCCGGTGTTTCGGGGTCGTTGGGGGGGTCGTTGTCAACCTCGCGAACAGGGTGCCCGCGGAATCCTGCGTTTACGTAATGACAGAACGTGAACCGTCATATTCTCGACTATTTCCTTTATACACTGGACGAGGCTGGAGTGGTGGATTTGACACTAAATCATCGACTCAGCTGAATTAGTAATGGAGTCCTCTGTGGCGCTCGGCCAGCTGGAAGTGTCCCCCGGCCCCGGCTCGGCCGCGGGGGTCCGGCCGAGCCCCAGAGCCCCGGGCAGCGTCCAGGGCAGCGTCCAGGGCAGCGTCCAGGGCAGCGTCCAGGCCAGGGACCGGTCCGAGCAGCGCGCGCAGGAGCAGGCGTACCTGGACGGCTGCGTGCCGCTGTCCCACCAGGTGGCAGGCCACAAGTACGGAGTGGATAAAGTTGGTAAGCTCTCCAGGAATGAATGCGCGTGCGTGAGTGTGTGTTTGAGCCGGTGCAGCCAGCGTGAGGGCCGGTGGCATCACCTGCCCCCCCCAGACCAGGCGGCCCCCACACAGCCGTCCTGTCCCCACACTGTCCAGCAGCGTTCTGCCCCCAGCCCAGAATACAGCCCCTCTCACAGCCTTAATGCTCCCTGCATTACTCATCCATACATACACACTTTATACACACTAACCGACAATATCCAGACTTGGACAAACTAGATTTTGATTAGAAAGGAAACTTAAGAGCCACCATCCTGTAAGATGAGACAGTTACTGGTAACGCTGCTAAGATGAAGGTTATTGGGGGAAGTTGCATGTGGATCAGCTCATTCTGTCTCCGTTCTCATGTCCCTGATACAGAGACTCGGCTTGTATCAGAGTGACAGATGACTGGATCTGTTTCTTTGATATATTTTACTCTGAGGTTTGTGATCTGACTTATTTCATTCTCTTATGGAAGTCAAGCTTCACATGACATCCTCACCCCCTTTTTAATCCACCAGAGTCTATTTAGAAACTCTCTCTGAACCATCAGGGGCTCTGTCTCCACAGGCACCACCAACCAACCAAAACCCAGAAGGATGCTGTGTGTTGCAGTGGCTGGTGGAAGTGTTTTTGATTGAATGAAACTTGTTCTTCCTGTTGGAGCTCCTCTGAAGGCACCAGCCTTATGTAAGGCTCTTCTGCTCAGCAGTGATGCCTAGTGTGTGAGGGGAACACTGCAGCTAGTCGGGGCTCATGCTGGGCAGAATAAATGCTGATGGCCGTGTGCATTAGCTAAAGCTCCCCCCCGGCCCGGGGGGTGAGACTCACTCTGGGGCTCAGGGTACCGTTGATGTCTGGATTCCACCCAGGAGAGATGTTACGGTAATGGCCCTGAAGGAGGAGGCCCAGAAGACTCGGATCTCAGAGGACAGGTGATATCTCCCACCTGCCTGGGGGGGTCTCATTATCCCTGTAGGTGGATGCACAGGGGGGGGCAGAATCTGGTCCCAAATACTGTCTGACACTGGATGAACACATAAACAGCAACATAGTCCCCAAATTCATCGTATGGGATGTCAAATGATGTCCCTGAGAGGAGGAGAAAGACAGCCAGTCTCCTCACTTTACCAGACTAATGAAGTCTGCCAGTGGGGGCACCGCCAGTGCTACTGGCTCCTGTAGTGTCCAGCTCTGAGCAGCAGGCTGGACTGGCCTTTCCAGTCAGACTGACAACCCGAAGCCTGTTACATTCATTACAGGTTAGTCACCTTCCCACAGCAGAACATGACCTGTGGCCTGGAGCAACGTGGAGTCCAACCCCTGACCCCAGTCAGCGGGTGTGTCCTGCTCAGGGTGTGGGCTCAGCCGGGCCGGTTAATGTTTGACCAGCAGTAAAGCAGCAGAACTGGAACATGAATCATGAGGGACGGGCTGGTGGGCTGGGCCCGGGCTCTCTCTGCTCAACGTTCCAGGGAACAGGCAGCTTGGGTTAAGTCTGGGTTTTCCTCATCCTGAAAGGTTAGATTTAATAATAAAACCATGCTGTTGGGCTATTGAAAGGTAGATGTTCTTCAAATATAAACTTCATTTATGTATTTAGTAAGGAAATACTGTCAGAACAGGATTATAATATGTTCATGAAGCACAGTTGTGGTCATACTGTATTTCTGGAAAAGGTGTGAATAACCATGTGTAAGTATGTTTTATGTGTAAAAGGTTTATTCATTTTTAAATCATCATTATATAACACTGGCCAGTGTTTCTCTCTTCCAACGCTTATCTCCATTCCACTGTAAACTATATTTCTGGAAAAGGTGTGAAATGTCACTGTGTGTGTGTTCTATGGCAGTAATTTAACATTTTTGTCATGGAACATTGTCCAGACCTGTTTAGTGCAGCCAGGAGGTCTAGGTTTAGCTCTGAGCGGACATCTGTGAGGCTGCTGAAGGCAGCCACTGGACTGTAGATGTCCTGTAGCCCGTGCTGTTGTAGGGCTTCCATGAGGCCCATTTTAGCTTCTTAAGCCCTGGATGATGTTTGGGTAAACCTGCTTTTTGAAGCTAAATCAGAAGCTGCTACATCTTCTATTCCAACCAAACCTGAAATTGGGTTAATGGACAATGGAAAAACAACAGCTAGTGACAGGTTCATCCTTTTCTGTCCCGGCTGTTCATCACTGGCTGACAGTCTGGGGTGGGGACTGCTGGATAAGACTGTCTGTTAGTGGTGTTAATGATCTACCAAGTAAAATATTCTACAGTACTAGTAAATGTGTAGTGATACTGATACTGACTTACACAGGTAGGAATGTGACCTCCTGTCACCAGAGGAAAATCCAAAGTAAACTGTGTTCTGTTACTGATCACATAGTAATGAAGTCACACCCAAAAGGAAATCAGTTCTAGCGTAACTTTGAATACAGTATAAATAACTTATGCAGCATTATATACAGATACAGTAACAGAGTCAGCAGAATGAATCAGGATTAGTCTCACATTCTGTGTTTTACTGTGCTAATGCTGAGAGAATTGTTAGGGTTAGGGTTAGGGTTAGGGTTAGTCCTCCCTGCTGCTGCACAGCTGCTTTTTCATGATAATCATCACTTCCGATGGGGAAATCTGCAATAGAATCACTCACAAACACCGACACGCTTTTTCTTTTGGGGCTAAACTAAAACAAACTTTTTTCATCTTATCTTTCATTTGAGGTTTAGTTATATTTGGCTTCAGAAACACTAATCATACATAATGTTAGTGCTGAGAAAACCTTGTAGATGATGGTTAAAGCATCTCAAAGAGCAAAGGAAAAGATGCCCCTTGCCCTTATTAATCTTGATGACTGAGACTCCACACCAGCATGAGAACTGATGTGTAGTCTGAGGTGAATATAGTTTTATATCCAGACAGGTGTCCAGGTTAAGTAATTGCCTCAGTTTGTGAGTTGCTGTTTTTTTACTCCCGGATCCGGCAGATCACTTTTCTATTGACGTTGTGTGTCTTTTTCCTGCTTATTACAGGTATTCTGCAGCACCCAGACGGTACAGTGCTGAAGCAAGTTCAGCCTCCACCCAGAGGTCCACGGGAAATGCAGTTCTATAGCATGGTAATGCAAAACCCACACAGACACGCTCGGTATTTCCACTTTAGTTTCTGAACAAGTGTGTTTTAAGGTAAGGCCAGAGTAGCCCCACCGTCCTGAAAACACCTTTTGAGGAAGAAATGCTGAAACAATTAATAAAGCAGCTGGATTCCAATCACTTATCTGTGCAAAATATTGGCTTTGACTCTTTAACTATCACCAACGTGTGTTTCACAGGGAGCGTTTTTACCGTTGCACACACACAGGTGCTCTGTCTGTAGCAGCTGGATTTAATGGAGGGAAGAAGGATGAAGTTTGGGAGAATCAAATCGGGGTCTGCTTCCGGAAGGCTCTGCCTCCCGTTCTGCTTTAAAAACTCAGGAACCAGAACCACAACTAGCAGCCTGCTGGAAACATCCAGCTTGGCGCCAAATTATTAAAACCAGATATAACTGACAATAGCCATTGTTCTGTATCATTTCAAAATATGATGTCTGTAATTTAGGATATTACTTGGAGAAAAGAGGGCAGTCCTGGAAACCTGTTTTATACAAGTTAAAATGACAGTTTCTGTTCAAAGACAAGAACAAAATAACAGCAAGGTTTGTCACTTTAGGACTAGAAGCCAAAGAAATACCATCTAGAATAACTATGTAACTACACTAGTTCTCTCTGAGGCTCTCAGGTCCAGAGAAACAGCTTCAGTTTCTCTGAATGTAAAGCAGAATATTTGGTCATTCAGATCTTTATGGCTTAAAGACCAGCTGAAAGTTCAATTAAATGTTTGGTTCCCCCTGATTTCATAAATGGGTATTGGGATTATCATCAGTTTAGCATGAGCCTCATTCCTTTTGTGTAAAATGTGATACCACTGTGTGTTTTTGTGTATCTTAGGTGTATGCAGAGGACTGTTGTGATCCTTGTCTTGTAGACCTTCAAAAGCATCTTCCAAAATATTATGGCACCTGGTCTTCTCCTGACATTCCAAATGGTAATTGGTCTTTTTTTTAAGTAGTCTTATACCTGGTACTGGTTTTGATGAGTTTTTTCCTCCCACACTCACCTCGTACATGCTTTGGATAAGGCATTGGATTTACAGCAATTTGAGATACAATATAATTGGAATAGTATTAACAGACTTTGGATTCTAATAAGCATGAACTGTACTGTGTCTGAAGTCCTCAGAGAATACATTTGAAATAATTTGGCTGATTCAGGATTAAACTGAATTGAGCTGAACATCAGCAGTTGAGTTGAAGGTCCCAGTTGAGACTAAGACCTTTAGCTCCTTACATCTGCCTTCTGAGATTTCTGCCAGCTACCCAGCCTCTCACCTGCTGCACCAGTTAAAAAAGGAAACGCAGAAAAGGAACCGTCATTCTACTCCCAGACTCCAAGACCATACCAGGCCCTTTGTGGTGCCGATATCCTGAGGAAGAAGAAGCTTTTCTCCCAAGTCCACTTCTCTTGTGTCTGCTGATTCTCTTTATATCTCCAGCACCATCTAATCTTCCCTGCCTCCTTGATGTCTGTTGGCTTTCTCCACTTCTTGAACACACTTTCTTTGACTTACCCTCCCTAATGTACCTACCTTTATTTATTTATTTGCAATGCCTGCAGCTAAGCTTCTTATTAAACGTTTAAACATTTGCTGTATCAGTTCTCTGTGCTCCCCCCCTGTCCACCGCACACAGGACACAACAGATGTATGGTCAGAATACTTGTGGATGTCCGGACTCTGAGCCTGACGGCTGGTGTGTACAGGGTGAAAAGAAAGTGAGCCAAAACAGTACCTGTGGAAGCCAGGCTCTCCAGTTCCAGCATTCCAGCTCCCAGACTGACCCCCTGTGGTCTGAGTCTGTAGTCCACGGCCCGTTTTCCGCCTGCAGCCCGCTCGTTTCACTGTCTGAAGGAAACTAGTTACAAACTGGATTATCCAGTTATCAACCACACGCACTCACACGCACTCCAATTCACCTGACATGCACGTCTTTGTTTCGCTGGGAGGAATGCAGGGCTCCCAGAAAGGTCCTGGTTCCCCCGGGATTCCAACCCAGAACCCTCTGGTCCTGGTTCCCCCGGGACTCCAACCCAGAACCCTCTGGTCCTGGTCCCCTGGGACTTGAACTCACCTGCTGCTGTGTTTGAGGCTTCTGTTGTCGTTGCATGTGATCACGTGTGGTCGCATCACTTTCAGTGTTGATGTGTGTGTGCCATGAACTTATGAGTGTAATTTTAATTGACTGACATCTTGAAAGGGCCCCCCATAATCTCTGCTGACTGTGTGTGGCTGCCTCAGACGTGTACCTGAAGCTGGAGGACGTGACGCGGCGCTTCTCCAGGCCCTGCATCATGGACGTGAAGCTGGGCCAGCAGAGCTACGACCCCTTTGCCTCACAGGAGAAACGAGAACAGCAAATAAGAAAATACCCGCTTATGGAGGAAATAGGTTTCCTGATCCTTGGCATGAGGGTGAGTTATGCTCTTCAGTTTTATCAGTGAAACGACTAAAGAAGGAAAAACCTGCAGAGACTGCAGAGTCCCGGGTGTTCATGGTTTGCCTGCTTCCAGACTCCAGCATGACGCATCCTTTGAAAAGATGCTTCTCCCTCCACACATGGTGACAGAGGGTCTTTTTTGGGTGGTGTCTGAGGCCTGCTGCTGAGAGGCCAGCTCTCCTATAGCAGCTCTGCAGGGGGCCTGAGATGGATTCCCTCTCCTGTCACACCACTGGCCAGTAAAGGCTACTAGAGCGGACTAGAACCTGACAGATGACAGGCAGTCCCCTTAATTCTAACTAATAGAGTGACCTCTATCAGCAGCTACGGTTCCTATAACAGACTTCCCTCAACAAGTCAAGCTGAAGGAAATGCAACATGTCATGATTCCCTCTCATTTTCTTCTCTGCCTTTTATTACATCTGCCTAAGATGATACAGAATAAGGTTTTTAAAGTGCAGCTGATCAACTCTTTCATGGGGACACATTTGGTCACTTTGTGAACATACTGGTATAATGTCCTAAGGCCTTGCTCTTCCTCTAAATATTATTCCCTCACCACTAATGGAACATCTCACAGCCTGTCTACAGCACTTTGAACCCGTGTTGGACATGGAGACGGTCCCAGACCCATCCAGACAGAAGACTAACCAGTACATGAATTGTTTTTAAAATGGCCACAAGTAATTCAAATAGAAATGTTAGCTGAGCTGGACAGTCATTAGGTTAGTCGTGGTTTCACGTTTGTGGTTTTTATTGTAGTTGGCCTTCTTTGTTGAGCAGGCTAAGGCTGAATGTCCCGTATCATCCTATCTCCTCCACCCGCTCTCTCTCACACACACACTGGTTTTCCTGTGTGATCTAAACAAACCGACTCAGAGCTTATCTGTTTGAAGGGAAAGTCAAACTGCAGAACTATCGACTCTTTGATCAGTTTCCATTCCAGCTCTTGTCAACAAGTTTGATGGTTTTCGTGTCTAGAACAAGATAAACATTGAACGACCTCCTTTGAGAAAACACCAATCTTTAGCATTGCTGCTGTTGGTGGTTGTGAGGGACTAGCTGCTGGTGCCCCAGCCCACAGGGAGCTAGTCTGAGAGGCCCCGCCAATGAGAGCGTCCGCTGGCCTGGCAAGGGCTGTGGAACATCTTCAGCAGTGAGTCAGATGGTTCTCAGTGGTCAGAGAAGATAAAAATCGGAGCGTTGGAGGCACAGGTCCCTTCAAACACAGAGGTAGATAAGAAACAACAGGCGCTCTCACAAAGACGGTAGTGTGCACCTCACCCTGGAGGAAACGGCTCCCTATATGGAAGAAGCAGGCACTCAGGAGGGAAAGCCCAACCCTCCCGGTACCAGAAGGCCTGAGACCAGTGCCGGATGTCTCATAGTGGCCTTCAAACAGGCGAGAAGACACAAGAGAGGAGATGATTGGCTGTGTCTGAACATCAAATATGACTTTTGGTCCCAAACTTTCCAACTTCATTATTCCATTCTTGGCATACTTTTGACAGCAGAACAAGCAGAGTTCTACTTCAGCTGAATCTGTTGATATCACATGTGAGGACTTATATGAGTAGGTCGGTCCAAACGGCTGGCTCAGAACCTGAAGAGAGTCTTTGTCTTTAAATGTCAACGGTTTGCAAAACCCAGTCAAAAGGGGCAAAGTTATGACCAAACAAGGAATCAATCGACCACAAATGAAGGATTTCCTGCAAGGGACTCATTTGTGAATCACAAAGACTTAATTTTAGTTAAAAAAAATAGTTCTAGAGCTCACATTCCACTACTCAGAAAATAGGGCGAGCAAAATGACATTGAACAATTCATTTGAGTAGATAGGAGTAATTAAAGGTCATAGGGCTGGTACATCTTTCTAAAAGCAGTAATCGACCGAACAACAACGCACAGCCTGAGTGGTCGGGATTCTTCAAACCATCATTTGATTCTATAGCGACTGAAGTTGAAGGCATATGTATCTATGGGGGAGGAGTCAGAGTGAGGATAGATAATGACTGACACATGACAACCACAACGCAAAAGTCTCTTCTGAAGTTCTTGATGAAGAAAGAGAAGAGGAATACAATCCAACAACATGGAGCTGTCTGGATTATTTTGCATGATGTAAAAGCAGTAATACAAGGGAAACTATATAAGACATTGAAGTAACCTTTAAAAAAGAGCTCAAAGTTACACATGCCACAGAAGTGGCATTGGGGGGGGGGCAGGTGGTGACTTACTCCCAAAGAGTCAGAATCAGCAGCAGGACATTTAAAACAGGATTATTGATATTAAAAACACCCACCTGTGGCTGGACCAGTGCAAAAACAGCAGAGAGGGAGAACTAAATGACACGATAAATGAGAAAAGAATGGGGAATATCGTCAGAGCGGGCGTGAGGGAACTTCTTGGATCTTGAAAATCCAAAAAGTCTAGTTGCTTTGACTGCATTTAGGGTTGAACACGACTCACCAAATGTTAACTCCTAACCAAACAATATCCAATGCAACTGCATAATATGAATA